AGAATATAGCAAATAGCGTTAATACCAACCAGATCAACAAAACTCCGCTTGTTCACTTCTCAGCCAAATTTTGTTACCAGACCATAAAAGACTAGACTATACCTGTCCCAACAGAATGAAGCGCACACGGTTGCTGTTGGTGGGAGAGTAGTCGCTAGTCGCATGCGCACTAAGCGGGTTGGCAGTGTTGCCGCTATCCTTTCTTAAAGTTACAGATTTTTTTATAAGACGTTTACTTTATACCTCCTTTTCAAAGACTACTCGAGTCGTCTGGGGGGGTAATCAACCCCTTTACCCCCCCGTGCCCCCGTGGGAGCGCCAGTGGTGTATTGTGTTAAGTATAATGAAAATCCCTTCAGTGGTAAAAGTAGCAGCCAGCTAACAATACAAACTGTAATGAAGCTTCTAAAAGAGGAATATTCTTCTAGCCCTTCTATGTTTTTTGCACCTATTTTCATTGATGTGATTGCCGAATTATTGGAATTCTATTTAATGTAATGTCAGCTACCGCGATGCGTAAAGTTAAGTTAGCCATTCTTGCTTGATTTTGTAGTCCTTCTGATGGGACGTTATGACCAGGTGAGTGGGCATACATTGCTGACAATATTGGCAAGGTATTATCGAGATATAGCTACTATATCCGTAAAGTTGGGGTTTTACTTTTCAGAAACAACTACCCTTGAAATAACAAAGGTAATGTGTAGTGAAACGAGGGCGACCAAGTAAGAAAAAAACAAAGGAAACAGTACTCACTCTCCAGTTGACGAGAAGGGCTAAGTACGTCTCTGCCCGAAATCATACCGCTCCAACAGGAAATGAAATCAGCTGATGCGCTACCGAGCAGACGCAGAAACCACATTGATTGTCTTACACTTAATGGCACAACTTCTAACAAGGAAGGCAGAATGTCGCTTAAAAAGTCTAGGTATTGCATCCCGTTCAATCGATTTGGGAGAATAAATGGTCCAATGAGCATACCGTTCACCATGCCAGCCCAAACATTCACCGAAAATGTTTGTTGAAAATGTGCCCGACGGACAGCGTGCGGATTTTCTACTGACCAAACATGAGTGTTGCGAAAGTTATTCACCCCATTACGCGTGAACGTAGATTCGTCTGTCACCAATATGCACTTCAAAAAGTCCGGATTATTATCATGTTGATGCAACAACCACTCACAAAACCGCTCTCCTGCTGGAAAATCGTCAGGTTGAAGGGCTTGTACACGTTGGACGTGAAACGGATACAGCCCCTCTTCACGCAGCGTTTGCCACACTTTAGTTTTTGATACTTGCACTTCTCTAGCCACGTCTCTAGTGCTTGTTGAGGGATTCTCGTCTACGCGATTACCTCTACACGCGTGACCGTATCCGTCGGTTGAAGGTTGCATACTGACCTGACACACTGACCCCGACCCAGTTCTGTCTTCGGGTTGAGACAGTGACCTAGTACCAGTCGGTGATGTCGCGGCTACAGGACGGTATTCAGATATTTTTGATGTTGCAGAGCCCTTTATCTCGGTTCCCTTAAGACATTGGTGTATAATGTATACTAAGAAAAATTGCTTATGTTTTCAAGATCTACACGTCGTGTAAAGGAAAACCCTGTATAGCCGCGCCACAAATATTGCCCGTCTAGAGGAGGGTCCATTAGGATTCTATAAATTCTTGTTTCTATTAAATAAATATATGAACATATTACCTAAGCTTCTTAAATTTTAAGATACGGGATGATAAGGTATTGTCATATCTTTAGGATCTAGGTAAAAGGCTATTTTAGAACCCATGCGCAATTACACTTTTGGTGTTCTGTTTGAATCCAGTTTCTGTCCTCGAATTAATGTTACTGATTTTTGGATCACACTGTATGTGTTATGCTTTGTAATTTCTTATTTACTCAATTTCAAAAGATTAGAGTCATTCATTTCTGTGATTTCAAAGAAAAACGTCCCACAACTAATCTAAAATAGATTAACTGCCAAAAAGTCTATCAAAATCCGAAAAAACGTCTTCCTAGTCAATCTAATTGACACTAATTCTTTTGTGAGATGGAATATCAGCTACATGGTTTGAGAAAATTTTAAAATCGTCGTGACGCTAGTGTGAACAGGGTTTTTTTCAAGGGGATGCTTCCACCAATTGCAAAACTGCAACAAGATGCAACCAACTGGAGGTGAAAGGATGATGATTCTCTTCTGTTTCTATTTACGCTGAGGGTCAAAATTCCATAAAAAAAATGGAAGATGTAGCACCCAAACCAAAATGACTAAACTTAAGTTACAAAAAAAGGGTGCTAGTCCATGAATTGGCGCTTGAGGCCTAATATCCCAGAGTGCGGAAAATGACGAAACGACCCCTGCACCACGACCTCAACGGAAACAGAAAAGCGGATCACGCAGAACACGTAACGTTCTGGAAGAAGGTATCTTGAGTGGCCTTGAAAAAGATATGTTTTATAGGAAACCAACTAACGGAGAAAAACTACAGAGTTTTTTGCTGATCGTCAACACCATACTGAATCGCTGAGAAAGAAAGATACAATACGAGTGAAATTATACAATCAATAAACTATTGAATTTGCCAGAAGAAAATCATTGAAAAGGGTTTGGCCTAGGAATGGGCACTCCATTATCAATGAAGAGAAATTCAAATTACGATGATAAGTAGTAAAAAAAAAGGTTACGTTACAAGTCGCTAAAATGTATTCCTAATCACAAAGCAGGCGTAGCAGTAACAAAAAATACCGTCAAGTAAGTTGACTCTGTACTCTCCACGCAACGCTGTTATCAGTTCTTAAGGATTATGTTTGCCACAAGTTCCGAGAAAAGATCAGCTACGGACATGTATAACAAAAAATTAAATGACCTTAAATACAAATCGCGGCTCTATAGAAAAGCTATAATAGTACTGGATGTGAAAACTTTAGCTAACACGCAACGCTCAGTTTAGGGTCATAATGTAAAATATTCATAAACCATTAGAAAATTTACACAATAAATTGCCTGGCGTATTCGTCATAAGTACACGTACAGCTATTCAAACAATAATTACATATCTTCTCGGTATTGTGGTTGTGCGTGTGTAGATTTATAGCTTGATAGACAAATAAGGCCAATGTCAATCCGGCTATGCTGATTTTGTATTGCAAACATGACCTCCTCACTCTACAGGGTGGCCCATCCATGTGTGGCGGAATATTACTCATAAACAAATACATTTTGGGAAAATCCGTTTATGACATGTTATACATGACATTTGGGGGCACATTTCTAAAATATTAGCAATTATACAAGGTGTTCCAATTTTGAACTACATATCAAAGTTGTGATTTTTTAAAGGGAATGCCTCAAATTTTATTGCATATTTGGATAAACTAATGCAAAAGAAGAAGATTCGTGTAACATACTATGGAGTTTTGGTAAGTAGCTACTGAGATGTAAGGTGTTTTGTCCAGAAAAACCCTCCATTTCGGCAACCCCCCAATCCACCATTTTGTAATTTGGAGTTATAAATTTTGTATAAAACAAACCTACACACCTCAGCTTTTATCTTATTTGTTACTTTTTCGAATTTTCATTTTTGCTCATACAGGGTGGTCAAAAACGCGAATGTACTTTTTCTCAAAAATTTCAAATGCATCACCCTGTATATAAATGGTAGCCTATGTCTGTCTCCAATCTAGAGATATGCTAAAATGCATACAATCATACAACATACACACAAACACACATACATACATACACAGTTTCTCATTTATAATATTAGTATGGATTTAAAGTACAAGAACAGTCGGCTAGTCCGCCACTTTGAAAGATATGATCATAAAGCAATGAGTTAAAGAGCTTCAAAATCACGCGACCCCCAATTCCATTAAAAAATAGCGTCTAGTAGCTCGACTCTGCACATCCACGCAATACTGTCGTGAGTTCACTAAGGATTAGAGCTCTAAAAAGGTAATCCCCTCTCATACAGAAACTAACTACTAACACGTACAACGAAGAATTTCATTAAAATCCGAGAGGAGAGGATAAGAAGAGGATAACGTACGAAAACTAAGCGTGTTTTTTTTTTTTCGTGACGTACACGTTTCAATACTTCCGATAAATATTCTCATATTTCCGAAATTTTTTGTGAATGCAACGTCTCGTTCAAAAAATAAATCGGGGAGGGCGTTCTTAATATCTATGACTCGTGTTGTATGCTGGGAAAAATTGTCTAATATTTAGAAAAAATATTAATGTAACTCGGTTTTATGATCTTTTCCATATTTTCCAAGAGGACGTAAAAGAGCAGACACTTAGCGGCCATGAATACTGCATGCCTACTTTCTGAGGATTCAAACGTTCACAAGTTTAACGGCAGGAATATTCTACAGCCAGTCTTCTAGATGTAATGCCATTTCACTGGAATAAAAAATGCAGCAGCACGAACAGAACAAAATTAAAGTATGCTCGTAAATTCAATGTCCATAAAAGTTAGCTGCTCGAAGGTTGTAAATTCCGTGTATCGTGAATAGGGACATTTTACCTCGATGCAAATAAGGTCAGTGTCAAAGGTAGTGTCGACATTTACTGATTTCAATGAAAGGCCGAAGGTACTTCAGAATGAATTGCATAGCTTAAAGCTCTTTTTCAGCTTCCGTGTTAATTTAATGGTATGCTGCCCTGGTATTCTGGATTATACAGATAAGGGTTCCTTGCTTTCTACACATTGCGTGAGCATATGGAGGATTCAATTTGGTATAATGAGGTTCGCAATTAATACTGAATCATAGTACTCGGGTAATACCCTGTTTTATTGTACAATTGCCACTGAACTGATTTTTCGTACTGAAGTAATCGCGAATGTTGTATATAAATATGGGCGTACCTAGTTTGCTGTTGTGATAATCTGTTGTGGCATATGCTTTAATGATGCTGTTATTTGGTTTTTCATACCTTCAAAAAATGAACAAGATAATACAGAAAAATCTATTCGACCGCCCCCCCTCGCTTCACTTACGTATTGCGAATGAGGTTCGTAATGAAGCATAGTACCCGGGTAATACCCTGTTTTATTGTACAATTGCCACTGAACTGATTTTTCGTACTGAAGTAATCGCGAATGTTGTATATAAATATGGGCATACCTAGTTTGCTGTTGTGATAGTCTGTTGTGGCATATGCTTTAATGATGCTGTTATTTGGTTTTTCATACCTTCAAAAAATGAACAAGATAATACAGAAGAATCTATTCGACCGCCCCTCCCCCTCGCTTCACTTACTTATTGCTCGCAGTATCCAGCCTGGATGTCAGATTGTTGTAAAAAAGCAAATTTAGAGATCAGTGGCTGATTTCTTCACATCGATAATTTTTTAATGGATGAATAACTCAACGACACGACATGCATTGTTGGTTGCAGAAAGCTAAGTAGTCTGTAGTGTTTATCTCTGAGAAGGTGTGAAAGAAAGTTGGTTGAGTAGAAAGATCGCATCTGGATGATTATGTGTCACAAAAAAACAACAAAATATTACTATTCAAGATACCTAATACGCGTGCCGGCCTGCATATTTTTATCTTTATACCACTTTTACATTACCCCTGAAATCACTCCACTCTTGTCTGAAACATTAGATTTTATGGTTTAGGTAAAAATGACCCTGTCTATTCGTAAAGAAATGAGTTTAGAACTAAGCCAAGAACTATTTTCCACTTTCGAACAGGCGAAATAATTTATCTATAAGAACAGGTTTGGCCGTCTGGTACCAACGGCCCGTTAAATTATTGTGTGCTCGATACTAGTGGACAACAAAATGGCCGGGCAAAGGGGTGCGCCCTACTCTTTGCCTGTAGCGATTAGCGATGCTTCGTACTTCCAAACAACAAAGTTTTATACTGCTGTTCTGGGTTCAGGAAGGGCTATGGTTTAATTCAGGGCTGAGCTGCCATCTAGCAGATTTTATGTCTCTCTGTGATTTAGCTTATTCTATTAAAGGGATTTCATTTATATGAATGTATTCCCTTCTAGTACATTATCCTACGTCCTAATATAGGAACAAAGCAATAGCCTAATCGAAGTCCCTGAGTTCATGGTTAAATGAACAGCAAAAAGCCAGTGAGTCAATCTAGCAAAGTTACAAAGTTCATGAAGGATAGGGCATAGTAGCAAAGTTATGTGATATATTGATAGAAAAGAGGCTAATCATCAACGACTAGCTCCTCAGACTAGTGAACATTACAATTAGCTGGACTTTAACTGAGAAGTACAGATCAATGGGGTAAGATGGTGAACCGTACGACCTAGTTCTAATCAGATAATCCAGCAGCTACTCCGATTAACGGGTGTATTTTTGCTTTCAGTGGACTGAGCTCCGACAAGCTGAAACGAACAGCTTCCTGGCAAGGCTCGGCCGTGCATTTGAGTGTCTCTTGTTAATGAGGTGGAGTTACTGTGCCCTCAGGCAGTGATCAACTACCAGTTTTCTTCCTTTCAGCTCATCCGGTTTGCCATTTTGAATGCCTACATGTGAAGCGTTGTCATCCGGTTATCGAAGAGTTATTGGCAGACAAGTTATCGACACCTGCGCATTATCATAATCGTGTGCGTAACTATTTGGACACCTGGAGTAACAATCTTTGGATCGGTCGTGATGGGCCTATACGTTGGCCTCCTAGATCACTAGATATGACACCGATGGACTTCTTTCTATGGGGCTACGTTAAGCAAGAGGTTTATAGATATCCACCATCCACCCCGGAAGGAAAGGATTAAGGATGCTTGTCTGAACATGCTGAGGGATGTGCAACGGTCATTTATCCAAAGACTACGGCTGTGTATTTAACATGGTGAAGATATTTTCGAGCAGTTTTTGTAGATTAAGTCTTGAGTAGTCATATTTGTTTGTTTATGTTGTTATTATAGCTGTTTTTCTCTATTACGCTTGAAGCTGATTTATACTGTTCTGATTGTTATTAGTTTTTACGTTAAATCTGTACTCTGAGTGGCAATATGGAACTAGCCCACTGTTTGTCTTTTGTTTCCATGGGTGATGTGTGTTGTTCCATTATAAGCTTAATAACTCAAAATCTAGTGATTTTATCTGAATCAAGCCTAATACAAAAAAAGCTTATACAAAATTGAATCCAAACTTGCACAAATATACGATGTATTTGAAATTTTTGAGAAAAACTACAACTTGCGTTTTTGACCACCCTGTATGAGCAAAAATTAAAATTCGAAAACGTAACAAATAAGGTAAAAGCTGAGGTGTGTCTGTTTTTTTTATACAAACTTCAGCATTCCAAATTTCAAAATGGCGGACCTAGGAGTTGCCGAAATGGGGGGTTTTTCTAGACAAAACACCTTATATTTCAGTAGCTAATTACCGAAACCCCATAGTATGTTATATCAATTTTCTTCTTTTGAATTGGTTGATCCAAATATGCAATATAATTTGAGTCATTCCATTTAAAAAATCACAAGTATGATATGTAGGTCAAAATTGGGACACCCTGTATCATTGCCAATATTTTTGAAATGTGCCCTCAAGTGTCATGTATAACATGCCATAAAAAAGGTTTTCCCAAAATATATTTGTTTATGAGTAATATTCGGTCCACACATGGATGGGCCACCCTGTATATGTGGAAAGCAAGGTTAAATAGCTTTACCTGGTTGTTTCGCAATTAGTACTTATACTCATTTAATTCAAGTATTAAAGCAAACTGCTTTTAAGTTACAAACGCTCCGTAATAACAATGAAAGCATAAACTTATACCTGCGAGACCAAACGGTAGCAAAGTGAAGTTTGATCAATGCATGCATTCAGGCTGTAAGTCGATAACTTTGTCTTAAGGCAAATATGGGTGAGCTATTTATGGAACCATCAAGCTTGCGGACTATCCTTGCTAAACTGCATTCGTAACCAACAGAATGGTCGATTAAGGTTTTACCAGGAAATGAGTACGTATGCATATACCGGGTGTTTCAACAGTTACGTCAGGGCAGTCCGACTGATTAAACGTTTCTTCTCTAACGGTCAGCATCAGGACACTTTCGCACCGGCGCACATACGAGTATTTGAATTAGAAAGCCGGAAAAAATTTTTTTTCATTTAAAAAACTGTAATTAGCTCTGTTATGGTTAATAATGCTACTAAGAACAGCAAGTAAAGTTATAGTGAAAAACGTGAAAATATTTATTAAAAAATATAAAAAGTATTATACTAAGTGACATATAAATCACTCAGTTTAAATGGTTTTATTTTAATAAAAGTTGGTGAATGTATTTATCTTACTGTAAATAACAAGTGAAACAATTTTCAGCCTTATCAGTTGGACATTCCGGTTTTTATACGACTTTTTTTTAATTCACTAACGCTCTAAAAATGAATATTTCAGCCGCAGTAAAGAATCAACGTGGGCGGATTTTGGTTCTTGACATCCTTTACGATCGGTTACGATGCCTAGAGTACGGAGACCTGTACGATTTCGTCAACTTAGTGAGTTTGATAGGGGCCGTATAGTGGGACTTCGGGAAGCTGGACTTTCTATTCGGGCAATTGCAGTTAGAGTGCACAGAAGTGTAGACACTGTGGTTAGGTGTTGTCAGGCATGGCTTCGAGAAGGCCGTACGCAAAGAGCAAGGGGCACTGGACGCCGCCGTAGAACAACAGACCGTGAAGATCGTCGCCTAAGATTATTGGCCTTAAGGGACCGTTTCTCCACTACCAGGTCCATTGCAAATGAATGGTTTGCAGCACAGGGAAGACCTATTGGCATGCGAAGTGTTTACCGACGAATGAGAAGTTTTGGCTTGTTTTCATACCGGCCACACCGGGTCCTCCCTTTAACTCGAGAACACCGACGTAATCGCCTTGAGTGGTGCAGACAACGGTCACTCTGGGATCAGGAATGGAACAGTGTGACGAGTCTCGATTTTGTTTAGGCATGCCCGATGGTCGTGCCAGGGTTAGAAGGTGACGTGGTGAAAGGAGGAATCCACAGTTTTTTGTTGTAAGACATGTTCATCACACTGTTGGAGTTATGGTTTAGGCTGCTATAGCTTATGGTTCCAGGTCACCTTTAATCTTCATCAGAGGTAACATGTACGCGCAGCGTTATATCCACGAAGTTCTAGAACCCATCTTTTACCCTATCTTGACACCATGGCAGATCCAACTTTCCAACAAGATAATGCCCGACCACATGTTGCAAGAGTAACGATAGACTTCTTTCAACATAATGATGTCACATTGTTACCATGGCCACCAAGATCTCCCGACTTATCCCCAATTGAGCACGTGTGGGATATGATGGGTAGGAGATTGCTCAATTTGCAACGTCCTCCTTAGACTCTAGAAGTACTTCGAGAGGAGTTGGTGGTTGCTTAGAATGAGATACCACAGGAGGACATTGACCACCTGATCAGAAGCATGCCTAGGCGCGTTGGAGAATGCGTAGCACATCAGGGTGCATCCACACATTATTAAAGGTCAAAGGGCTTTAAAGCAGTGCAATCATTTTGAAATTTTTATCATTTACTTATTATGCTTCATTAAGTACTTATACAAAATTTTATTAAAATAAAACCATTTAAACTGGGTGTTCGGATTTATATGTCACTTAGTATATTAAGAAAATGACAACCAAGAATCATCAATAGTCTCCTATCTCTGGTGCAGAGTCTTCATCATCATCATCATCATTATCACCAGACCAATTAGACTGGCCCATCGGTTCTTCAGGCAGGAGCATATACGTTTAAAATAAAATGACTCGGAAAACTAACCATATTGCAAAAAAAATTGTCAACGAGAAACCTTTTTTCGTTACTTGAAATTTGAGTGCAAATATCATATAAAAATAATTAATAATATTAATAATAATATGGAGCTACTTTCATTTTACCTTTATTCTCCACAACAGAAAAAGGTCGGTTATCAAGAACGATCATTTCTCCTATAGTCTGGTGTATTCTTTTTGCCCTTGGATCGTTTATGTCGCATTGTATTTTGAAGCTCTCAGTAATTTTAATTTGTCTCAATCCTCCTGAAGATTCTGAACCTGAACATTTCTTATTTTCGATTTTACTTTGATCCTTTAATGTAAGTGGATGCTTATATTTTAAGTGTTTCCAGAAAGATGATGTACTCGCTCTTTTTTCCAAGACCGCCACATAATCCACACACTGCTTTTGATTCATCTTCATTATAAAA